CTTTTTTTCAGTGCCGTTGTAGCTTTGAACAGTCACCAAATGAACTGTTGTAAGTTGATGACTCCCTGTATTATGCCAACCCAGGGCATTTGGGTTAATTTAATGGTCGATCAGAAAGGTCGGCAGTTTGGCGGTTCGAATCCCTAGTGCCACGTAACGGAGTGAACTCCCGTTACTTGTCCCAGCTTCTGCCAACCTAGCAGTTCAAAAGCATGTAAAAAAGGCAAGTAGAAAAACAGGGACCACTTGGGTGGGAAAGGAACGGTGTTCCGTGCATCTTCGGCGTTTAGTCATGACCACAGAGACATCTTCGGACAGCGCTGGCTCCTCGGCTTTGAAACGGAGATGAGCACCCTGCCCCCTAGAACCAGAAACGACTAGCACGTATGTGAGCGGGGACCTTCCTTCTGGTGTAGCATGCTTGCCCCAGCCTTGATAAATCAAGGACTACCTATAATATGATTTTTCCCCCTTTTATGTTCCTGCTATGTGTGGGAATCTTTCCTGCTTGTTCTTCTAAGTGGGATCCTGGATTTTTGCCGTGAAGATTTCTCCCACCAGAATTAATGAACCAGATACCTGGGAAGCCGAAAGCTGTTTTTTTTCAATGCCTTCTTGATTCATGCCATTCCTGGGTTAGGATCTACCCTCATTATTTCCTGTTGTGAATCACCTGAAGTTTTAAAAGCAGGTAATTTGCTCATCCCAGTGGACTTTGAAAGGAAGGACTCGGCCATGGCTTTTATCCAATCATGGTTGCTAGAACTGGAATGTGGGAGATTTATAATATGATGGCCTTGATCCACACGATAAGCTGTTTCACCCTCATCGCAGCTGGAGTGGCAATGATTAATGACAGAGAAATGTCTTCCTGCATCAGCACAGATGTGTTCTGCTTCTAAAGTTAAGCCGCTGTCAAATTACCTTAATTTCTTTCTTTTCTTTTTTCTTTTTCCAAACATTTCCAGGCAAAAAGAATGATTTGCAGCATTCTTTATTCAGCCAGAAATGACACATTTGCACCCACAGATAAAAGGAATTGGAGACTGATACAGCAACCTCGGTTGTTACGCAGCTGCTTTCCAGTTTAGGGGGAATAAAGGGAAGCAAATTCGGAAACAGCAATTTCAGAAGCCAGAAAGATAAGCAGAGATAAGAGAAAGTTAATTCTTAGGCTTTCTAACATCCTTCTTTAAAACTGGGAAGGTCAAGGCGGGCTCAAGGCTGCCAGCAACTTCCTGGATTGTTGTTGACATGATGATTCAGAGGTTTCTTAAGAATCAGGGAGGCTATAATCTTTACATCCTGTTTTTGAAAAAAATAATACAAGAATTCCAGGTCCCTGATAGGAGAGAAAGAATCTTTAAAAGTTTGCTCTCTGGGGCAGAATTTACCAATGTTGGCAACTTTTAAGACTTGTGGACTTCAACTCTGGCTGGGGAATTCTGGGAGTTGAAGTCCTTAAGTCTCAAAGTTAGCAAAGTTAGGAAACCCTGCTCCAGGCCATTTTATCTTTTGCATCAGGCCTTGGCTAAATGTCTTGGGAGTCTGTTCTCTCCATTTTTGATGGATCTGCTTGCTTGTTTTCCTCTTTTATCTTTTTCCAGTTTGCAAGTTTAAGAAAGGCTATGATCATTATGCTTACTTTTTGTAGCTTAGGCAAACAGCGCCCTCAGCTGGCAGTCTCTGGAATATACTACCGTATCCGTCAGAAGGGACATTTCACTCCTTCGCCAGTGAAGATCAGTTAAACGTCTATCTTTAAAATCGTTTCGGTGTGCCATTCCTCCCACTTAAAGATACTGCAGACAGCATAGGAAGATCTTTTATAGCAGGTCAGACTTGCTATCAAGCCCTGGAGTTTTACATGTTTTTCGAAGGCCTACTGGAATGTGGTTGATGAGCCAAATCTTATGAGATAGCCCTACTTCATACTCTCTTTGTATCTGCATGCATGGTGGGAGGCTGCATAACCATGCTCCCATGTGGTTTAGGATATCTAATTTGATGGGGGGGGGGCAGTTGGGAAGGAGCACTGGTGGATCACGTAACCAGACCTTGATGAACCCTGTTCATCAATCCTACAATCCTACACTTGATGAATTTGATGAACCGAAGCTGGCCTTCTCAAAAGTCCTACCTGATAATGATGTGTGCCTGCTTGGGAAGCCAAGTCAAAATAGGGTAAAGGTTCCCCTCACACATACATGCTAGTCGTTTCCAGCTCTAGGGGGCGGTGCTCATCTCCTTTACAAAGCCGAAGAGCCAGCGGTGTCCAAAGACGTCTCCGTGGTCATGTGGCTGGCATGACTAAATGCCAAAGATGCACAGAACGCTGTTACCTTCTCAGCAAAGTGGTCCCTATTTTTCTACTTGCATTTTTTTTACGTGCTTTCGAACTGCTGGGTTGGCAGAAGCTGGGACAAAGTAACGGGAGCTCACTCCATCACGCGGTGCTAGGGATTCGAACCACTGAACTGCCGACCGTTCTGATCAACAAGCTCCGTCTTAGCCACTGAACTATGGCATCCCTTAAGTCAAAATAACAGAATAACAAATGTTGGAAGGGACCTTCTAATCCAACTCCTTGCTCAAGCAGAAGACCGTATACCATTTCAGACAAATGGCTGTCCAATCTCTTCTTAAAAACCTCCAGTGATGAAGCACCCACCACTTCTGAAACCAAACCGTTCCACTGTTTAATTGTATTAATTCCTGTCAGGAAATTTCTTCTTAGTTCTAGTTGGTTTTCTCCTTGATTAATTTCGATCCATTGCTTCTTGTTCTGCCTATCATGTCCTATCATGGAACATTCTCTTCCAATTCTCTTTTTTTCTACAATAAGCACTTTAGGGTCACAATCACACCTGTGGCCTAAACATGCTCAGGGCCCATCCATTTGGTTGATTTAACAACCATTTAGTGACTGTTCAAAGTTACACTGAAAAGAGTGGCTTATGACCGATCCTCAATATTACAATCAAACTGTGATGATCTGGGGCATAGCACAAAGGCAACACAATCAGATAATTGGTAGGAGTCCCTCTGTTCGATCCAACTTTGCCTGCAATGTCCTGGTTACCTTCTGGGCTGGAGAAAAACTTTCCAAGGAACAGCCTTTGGCTGCAGAGAATCAAGTCCAAAACATGGTCAACAAAAACTGTAACTATAAGTCCAATCAAGGCAAAATGAGGTAATTAGTCCGACAGGGCAAGAGAAGGAAGGGCAGTAATTCAACACAGTTGGGAAGATGCCAGGAACACAGATAACCAAAGTCAACACAAGATAAACCCACATTTGTTCCCAGCAGATCCCGCACTCAGCATGCATCTCTTTTAAACTCTCTTCCCAGCTGTGGCTAATGAAGGGAATCAAGGCCCTTTCCTCCCCCTAAACCACACAACCCATGTCGCTCTCTTCTCCATTCCTCCCTGCATGCCCTAGGATGAAGAGGGGGTGGGTCTTCCTCTGAACTCCCTCTCCCTTGTTCTACCTCTCCCCTGCTCTGCCCAGCCAGACTTTGCCCTTCCCCAGTTTCCTCCACAATCAGTGGAGCCATACTCCCACTCTCTGTCAGCTGTTCGTCTTCCTCCTTGGATTCAGAGTCCAACAGGGGCATGACACACACCACATACCCAGAGTCAAAATTTGGGTGTCAACCCTGAAGCTGACTTGACCGAAGCCATTTTTTACCGCTTCAGTGTTGCCACAGTGTTGGAAGTGGGGGATAGGGAGGGGGGGGGACTTGAGATAGAAGGGACTCTGTAGCCAAAACAAAGTATTTTCTCTTGGGAACCAAGGGCATTCTCACACCTGGTCGGAGGAAGATGGAGTGATACTACCCAACTAACAGTCCACACTGTGATTTGGATCATGTGACTGACTGTTTTGAGAAAGTAGAAAAACTTTTAATTAGGTGAAAACTGGCAGGAGACTTCAGAGTCGGTTTTCACCAGATCTGTGCCAATATGATATTTCTAATAAAGCTATTCTTTGAGGAATCTTACCAGCCTGGGAGTTTTGCTTGCTATGGATCTACTACTTGGAACCCTGACATTGGGTGCTTGGCAACCAGTGTGCATTTACAACAGTTGAAGCTACCCGGAGTCTGGTCGTCCCCGTTTGCAACCTTCTCAGCCAGCTTCTGACAAGCAAAGTCAATAGGGAACTCCAGATTCACTTAACGAACTTGTGATTCACTTAACAATGGCAGTGATTTGCTAACCGCCCTAGCAAACATGGCAGGTGAGGCTCAGTCATGACCTTGCTTAGCAACAGAAATTCTGGTCCCAATTTGGTCATAAGGCAAGGACTACGTGTGTGGCTCTGGGGCTGATTTGCTTTGCTTTGCACAGCCCCCACGAATCTGTGCCGTTTCCGGAGAGCTTCAGAAGTTGACTCAACTCTTGTGCCAGTGGGAAAGTTGCACCCAGAGTTTTGCTACAATTTTTTTGAGTGTTGCAGCAGAGTCTGTTTCCATGAGGATTCTCTTGGGATTGCTCTCTCTTCCTGAGATGCAAAGGCACTGTGGTTATTGTGGCAAATCTTCCATCACATGGCTGTTCCCCCACACCCCCCCCCCCCCCCCCCGCCACCTTTCACAGGGAAGCCCACTGGAGTCTCCTTTACACCCCACTGAGAAAAGCACATGAACCAACAGAAGAGCAATGAAGGGCGAAGGGTGCCAGCTAGCTGCCAGTTTTGGTGCTCTACCTTGGCCAGCTGGCTGGTTCAAGGGCAGGAAGCTAAGCTGACTTGCCCGCCCATCCTACTGTACAAAAATGTGGTTTATCATGTAAGCAGTGAGGCGAAACCACCAGCTGTGTAGTAAAGTCCTTCCTACTCCAAGATACTTCATACTTTTGCAAATATTTGAGTTTCCCCAAAGTGGATGATCCTGTCTCTCGTGGCACCATTTTGTTCTGATTAAGGATTCAAATTAAAAAAAAAAAGACATCAGATTCCAACCTAGCTGCATAAAACAGTATTATCTCTACTTACTTAAATAAATGTTAAAAAAACCTCCCAAAGAACTGAATTGGCCTTGCAAGTAATTTGATACTGGATATTTACTGTGATAAATAGTGTATACATTTTAAATGAGAGGCTCCACCAAAGGAGGGCTTTCCCCCAGAGAATTGCCAACCCTTTACAATTGTCTGTTGTCCAAAAGAATTGGCTCTTGTGGGACACAAAACATCTCATTACCTGAAAGGCAAGCGAATGCAACTAAAAAGAGAAATGACATTCAAATGCATTTTGTAAAAAAAAAAATGAAGAGAGGTGGGGAAATTATCTCATGCCAAAAGGGGTGCTGCAGATCTGTTCAGCCCTTAAGCACCTCGTGGAGGAATTGAGTATCAAAAGATCCAATGGGCTGAGGTAGATTCAGGGTAGAGTGAAAGCTAGATTTTCATCGCAAGCGCCGGTCCTTCGCGAGATCAAAAGAGCGAAGTTCTTGTCTGCAGAGTTTTCTTCCTCTAAGCCCCCAAGAGAGGGCAAGATAGGGAAGTGGGTTTGGACTAACACAATAGTCCTTGACTTACAACCATTCGTTTAGTGGACAGCTAAAATTACAAAGGCACTGAAAAGGTGACTTATAATTAGTGTTTGTATTTACGACTCTTGCAGCATCCCTATGGTCACGAGATCAAAAGCTTGGCAACTGACAGGTAGATAATAAGATGGTTGCAGTGTCCCACGGTCGGGTGATGGGACCTTCATGGAAACCTGCATTTGTGACCTTTTCATCCAGCTTCCAACAAGCTAAGTCAATGGGAGAAGCTTGATTCTCTTAACGACTGCATGGTTCAGTTAATTGTAGTGTTTCGCTTAACAACCATGGCAAAAGATCGTAAAATCAGGCATGCTTCATTTAGCAACTGTCTTGCTTAAGCAATGGATATTCTGGTCCCAAGTGCAGTTGTAAGTTGAGGACTACTCGTGCTAGATAACCAAATCCACTGCGAAGATGGAGGAGTCAGAGCTGGCTCTATCCGCTTTCTTGGGGATGGTAAGAGAAACAAGGAAAGGGATAAAGGCATGTGTATTTGTCAGCACCTTGTCAGGTGATCCCAAACATCTGCCTTGGATGGAAATTATATCTAACACCCTCCCACACAAAGCAGTAACATTCATAAAATTCATCCAGCAGGCTGCCCATTTTTTGCCCTGATCCCCAAACCTTAACCAGGACCTACAAGACATAAAAGAAAGGAACAAAGCCCCCCCACCCCCCGCCCCGTTGCTAAATCACAGTTGAATTACGAAAATGCTAGGCCGCCGGTTGCCATGGTAACTGTTCAAGGGTTATGATTACCGTGGCTCCCAAGGATACTCCCATTGGGGAGCTCTTATTTGCCTATGGGGCAGGCCACGCCGGTGCCTTGCAGGCCGCAAAAGCCATCCGGGTTTTTGTGCAGATATTGCTGGTGGTAATCTTCGGCGTAGTAGAATTCGCCAGCCTCCCAGATCTCCGTCGTTATTGGCCCCAGTTGCTTCTTAGCCAGCTCCTGCCAAAGAGGAGACAGAAACGCCTTTCAAGGAAAGAACAGGTTGAAATCTTGTCCCCCCTGCAGGGTCAACCGTGCTTAAGTTCTTTACTTCTAGGTTACAAATAAAATAAAATATTGGTAGCTTGGGATCGAAAGGAAGGATCCTTAGTGCTTTCTGAGCCTGGATGCTTTCTTGAAGACGGTTTCATTACCAAACTAGGTAACATCATCAGTGCTAGCATTCCATTCCCCACCAACCAGTCAGAGCTGAAGAAACTTCTTGCATAAGAAGTGAGACATCTTCAAAAAAACAACAACCCAGAAAGTCCAGTTGCCTCTTGAAAAAGCGACTTTGGGACAACCATGACCTGGATGACTGAGAATCTCCGTAGACATCTGCAAGGAAATAACCAAGGTCAGAGAGCACTAAAGACCCTTGTAGCTTATCTTCACTCTCCATCCTCACTGTTTGCCAGGTGTGGCTTCTAGATAAGAGCCTCAGTATGCTAAACCCCTTTTATGATCCCGAGACAAGGAAAATCATTTAATTTATGTTTTATTTGAAATATTTCCATTTAAAAGGGATCTTTTACTGACTTCACCAGTGAGAGAACCTGGACAAAAACCTGGACGTTTACTTTTTAGGGTTCACACAAGAAAGAACTTCAAAGTTCTTCCTCCCCCTTGCAAATAGCCCATTCATGTTGGAATTTCAGTGTTGGGAAAGAGAACGAATGTTTTTAAGAAAAGCGGGCACTCATAAAGAGAAAATAAGCTTCTGGTCCTTGTGGCTCTGCATATTGGCTAGGAAAAGTGTGAACTGCAATCCATGGTATTGTAGGGCAGGAAGGATTTTCCCAGTTTTTGGGGAATGGAGTAGCTGGCTCAGGAATTCTGGGAGTTGAAGTCCACAAGTCATAAAAGGGCCATCATTCCCCATCTCTGTTCCTAAGGTTTTGCTATGTTTCAATAGTTTTTAAGGAATCTTTTCTGACTTGAAACACGACTGCCAGAAGGATTGCCACGGCCTATGTGGCCACTTGAGGGCCTCCAAGATCCCTGTCTATTTACAGAGTTCCTTTCTCCAAAGCTTCCAGGTTGTTTCAGTAAGATGTATTCATTCAGAGTTCAGAAGGATAGAAGGAAAAAAGATAGGAGTAGAGTAGAGTAGAGTAGAGTAGAGTAGAGTAGAGTAGAGTAGAGTAGAGTAGAATAGAGTAGAATAGAATAGAATAGAATAGAATAGAATAGAATAGAATAGAATAGAATAGAATAGAATAGAATTCTTTATTGGCCAAGTGTGATTGGACACACAAGGAATTTGTCTTTGGTGCATAAGTTCTCAGTGTACATAAAAGAAAAGATACATCCGTCAAGAGTCAAGAATCATAAAGTACAACACTTAATAATAGTCATAGGGTACAATAAGCAATCAAATCATACTAGGAAACAGTCAATAAAAATCATAAGGATACAAGCAACAATGTTACAGTCATACAGTCACAAGTGGGAGGAGATGGGTGATAAGGAGTGATGAGAAGATTAATAGTAATAGTAGTGCAGACTTTGTAAATAGTTGGACAGTGTTGAGGGGATTATCTGTTTAGCTGAGTGATGGTGTTCGGGGGAAAACTGTCCTTGTGTCTAGTTGTTCTGGTGTGCAGTGCTCTAAAGCATCGTTTTGAGGGTAGGAGTTGAAACAGTTTGTGTCCGGGATGTGAGGGGACTGTAAATATTTCACAATGGGGTGGGTAGCATAATGGAACACTAGTAATTGTTGCTGGTATGATCCTGACTTCTACCAACAATACCAACTCTTCCAAAATCTGCAATCCATGTATCTGGATGTTCACACCATCTCCTTCTAATATGTATCCATACTGTACAGGTCATCCTCGCCTTACGACCACAATTAGAGCCCAACATTTCTGTTGCTAAGCAAGACAGTTGTTAAGTGAGCTTTGCTCCATTTTACGACCTTTCTTGCCACAGTTGTTAAGAGAATCCCTGCTCTTGTTAAATCAGTAACACGGTTGTTAAGGGAATCTGGGTTTTCCCGTTGACTTTCTTGGTCAGAAGGTTACAAAAGGGGGACTCACGTGATTCCCCAAGACACTGCAACTGTCATAAATATGAACCAATGGCCAAGCAGCTGAAGTTTGATCACATGACCATGGGGATGCTGCAATGGTTGTAAATGTGAAGAATGATCATAATTCACTCTCTTCGGTGCCGTTGTAGCCTGTATCTAAGACCGATACTTCCAAACAAGGCTTTTATCTTGCAATCTCCAAGAATCACCTTGGAGATTGCAAGGTGATTCTTGGAGATTGCAAGATAAAAGCCTTGTTTGGAAGTATCGGTCTTAGATACAGGTTGACATGATCGTGGTGTTCCAATATCTTCAGGGGTTGCCACAAAGAAGAGGGAGTCAAGCTATTCTCCAAAGCCCCTGAGGGCAGGATAAAAAGCAAAGGGTGGAAACTAATCAAGGAGAGAAGCAACCTGGAACTAAGGAGAAATTTCCTGACAGTTAGAACAATCAATCAGTGGAACAACTTGCCCCCAGAAGGGTTTCCAGGATGTTGAGAGACTGAATTATAGTTGGGAAAAACGTTCTCCACTTTCGAGATGGACATTTCAAAGGATCTGCTTCTTTTCCTCGTGGCATCCTTAAATCAAAGCCCGTGCTTTGATTTTGGCATCATGATTATTGGCGGGCAAGATCATTTCCCAAATTGCAAATTTAAGGACTAGCAAATCACAAATTTAGGGACTAGGGGTGGGATGATAGCAGTATCCAGGATTTGAGAGGCTGCCATAAAGAAGAGGGGGTCGACCTATTCTGCAGAGTATCAGAAGGCAAGACAAGAAGCAACAGATGGAAACTGATCAAGGAGAGAAGCAACCTCGAATGAAGGAGAAACTTCTTGACAGAACAATTAATCAATTTGCCTCCAGAAGTTGTAAATGCTCCAACAGTGGAAATTTTTAAGAAGAGATTGGACAACCATTTGTCTGAAATGGAATAGAAGGGGGTTGGACTAGAAGATCTCTAAGCTCCCTTCAGATCTGTCATTCTGTTATTCTGCTTAAGCAGTTCCACACTGCTTTTTCCACCATTTCTCTAATTTTTCACCACCTTGGCAATCTGAAGATGTATGGACTTCAATTCTCAGCGTTCCCCAGCCATTTTCAGGAGAGAAATACACCAAAACTGTCATGTAAAATAGACTTTACATCTTTTCCTTTGGGCTCTTAATACTATTCCGTATTGATGTCTTCCCATCTTCACTCGAGAACTGCTGTGTGGGGGAAGAGCATAATACTTGGGCAACGGCAAACCATTTTTTTCATTACAGCCTATGAACGAAACACTAGGAGACTTAGATGACCATTGGCAGCTAGTCCCCTGTTAGCCCTTCAAGGCAGCCTTGACGAGAAGCACAACTGGGAATGTTGGCTCTTTGTTGCAAGGTTACATGAACGGCATCTTGCAAGATTCAACTAATTTCTCCCCTCCTTCCCTCGTACTTTCCAGGAAACTAAGGAAATAATTTTCCCCGCCCTCCCTCCTTCTGTGAGCTGAGATAATCTTTTACCCACCTGTTGTCCAGTCTGCAGCTCTCCTGTCTCCCAAGGCCATTTCCACATACCATTCCATCCCCCATTTCTTAAATGCATGGCTTCCCTGGGTCTTCCCTGGGACGGAAGGCTAAATACCATTTCTCTCCATCCATCCAAAGGTCTAGAACAGGGGTCCCTAACCACCGGGCCCCGGACCGGTACCAGTCCGTGGAACATTTTCTACCGGGCCGCCGGTTTGCTGGGCGCCGCCATCTTGTTTTGATGAGAAAGTGCTTCCGGTGAGCTTTTCTGGTTGGAAAATGGAGTTTCATCGAAGGGGGTGGGCGGCTTCGAACAAAACTAAGGCGCGAGGATTCTTTCAGCACCCAAGGCAAAGCGAGCCGAGCGACCGTCCTGAAGCCGTCCCGAAGCCCATCGACAAAGGTACAAAGGAGGAGTTGAAGGTGGCGGGGAGAAACGGGGGACGGCTGGCTGGCTGGCTGGTTGCTTGGCTCGCCTTGCCATGCGTGCTGATGCCGGTACTGGGCTGTGGATCATTTTGTGATGCCGGTACCAGGCTGTGGCACAAAAAAGGTTGGGGACCACTGGTCTAGAACAGGGGTCCCAAACCCCTGGCCTGTGGTATGCCAGAAACCGGGCCGCACAAACAAGCAAAGCCCCATCCACAGCATGCAGGCAGCACATGAAACCACTCCCCGCTCCAGTCCACGGAAAAATTCTCTCTCCACGGAACCGGTCCCTGATGCCTGAAAGGTTGGAGGCCGTTGGTCTAGAAAGGCACCACCACAAAAATGCCACCCAGTGTCTCTGCTTCCATAGGATGAGTTTAGCAGAGACTGGTGGGATCCTCCCACCACCTTCTCCCTTTGCCATCTGCCCCTACCAGGTGAAAATGATTTTATCTGGGGGTGGGGCTGCTGGGGGTTCGCAGGGGTTCGGGAGAGCCCCTAACTAAGATTCTGTGCAGTTCAGAGAACCCCCAAATCCCATTCCTGGCTGGCCCTGCCCACCCTGCCCCTCCCAGGAATCCCCACACAGCCTGTTTTGGATGCAGGTAAGTGCAGGGCGCGCATGGAGGCTCAGGGAGGGTGGAAAACGGGCCTCCTGGGAGTTCAGGAAGGCCGGAAATGGGCCTGTTTCTGGCTTCCAGAGAGCCTCTGGAGCCCAGGGAGGCCATTTTCGCCCTCCTGGAGGCTTGAGGAAAGCCTCCGGAGCCCGGGGAGGGCAAAAACGCCCCCTCCCTGCTGTGGTGCAAGAGGCCGACTAGGCCATGCCCCCCATAGCCACGCCCACCCAGCAACCGGGCAGAGAACCCATTGCTAAAATTTTTGAAGCCCACCCCTGATTTTATCTCCTCTCCTGAGGAATAGTGGGGATGCAGAGGCAGAAAGAGGAGACGACTTACAATCATCCCTTTAGGATGAACCATT